ATATAAAGGCGTATGTTAGAATATGAAATAAAGTTAGCAATGTAATGCTCCCACCCAAAATAATCTGGAGGATGTCTCGCTCTGCTACGAGAGGTCCTTAAAATTAGAGGTTAGGAGGAGGAGGAATCATATCATCTGAGATTTTTGAGTCAGAGGTGAATGGTGTAAGCGTTTCAAGAGTCGGGGAAGATCGGGATAAGGGACTAGCTGACACAAGTGGCACTAAAGGCATCGTTCCCTCTTTTTGCTTTCTTCTCTGTGTATATACCCTTAGGTCACCTTCAGCCTGAATCCTGCCACCTCTGGATTCACTCTCCTTATTTTCTGGCTCTTCAGCCAACTCATCCCATATCGCATTACAATGTATCACTTCTACGTGCACCACTCTTTCACCATTGATACTCACTCTCTACCTCATATCTTTAATATCTGGTGAGTCACCTAAGGGTGATGTCACCTCCCTAGAACAGTTCAAATTCTTTAAATGACACATTCATGCTCACAAACATTCTCTTTTCTATCAGGCTCCAACAAACTACCCCTTCTGTGTAGCAGAATAACCTATGAATACACATTTCACAGCTTTGATATCCAGCTTCCATATTGATGGCTTATTATCCATCACAATACATACACATCCAAATATCTTCAATGAGAGAATAAAGTTATTATCTCTTTTCAACAACTGGCAAAAAGACTTTCAATCCAACACCCTCGAGGGCATTCTGTTGATCAATTAAACACCTGTCAAAATTGCTTGCCCCCATAAATACTTTGGCATATTCTTTGCGATCATCATGCTTCAGGTTAGTACTAGAAGGTGTCTATTATTCCTCTCTGCTATTCAATTTCCTCTCAGCTACTCCATTTTATGTCTGTGTGTATGAACATGCGGTTTGATGTTGTATCTCTTGGGCTGAGAAGTATTCCCCAAATGTTTTGTTGGTATACTCTCTTCTATTATCATATCTTAATACCTTTATTACTGCATCATACTGAGTTTGGATTGCCTTGTGGAAGTCTTTAAAGCAATCAAACACATCAACCTTATTTTTCATCAAATATAAACAAGTAAACGAGAAAATCAATCAATAAAGGTCACAAAATATCGATAACCAATGTATCAAGTCAAAAACACTAGAATTATTATTCCCATAACTGGTATAAGAGCTCCTAGTAAGTTTGTCTTGTCAAACTCACAAGCATCACAAGCTTTTGTTTGTTTGTCTTTTCATACAAAGAATGATTCAACCGACTCAATTAACTAAAACAAGTTTCCATTGCATTTGTGATGTAGCAGCAAAACATCCTCCACACTCCTCTCAAATTCTTTTACTCCAGCACTCTCTACCATGAATGTCAAAGCTGAGCCCATCCCCTCCCGGTTCAAGCACCAGAGTCCACTATACCATGTTCCAGCTTCAAGTGTCTGTCTCGTCCCTTTCTCTTAGAAAATAACTTCAGGAATTTCAAAAGAAACAACACATTTTAGTTGGAGAATAATGACATTAATGGATAAAAGATTCACTGAAAAAAGAGCATGCAAAATATTAGACAAGATTATATACTTGGTGCCCCTCATTGTACCCTTACTAACTATATGTTGTGTTGTACCGTCAGCAGTCCAGATACTTTTTGGTACTGCTAGGGAAGTATAAGAATAAAACTCTCTAGCAGTACCTATCACTAATCAAGATGTACCAGAATCAACTATTCATTTTGATGATACTATGGTGGAAATAGAGGCAAGAGCATGTGTATCGCAAATATCTTTATCAAAGTGAGCATAAGTGGCGATGTTACCCATTGTTGACGACTGATTGTAAGCATTCTCAGCCCCATCTTCCGCTGTTTTCTGCTTCCTCTTTAACAAATCTAGTTGCTCATAATCCTCATGGATAAAAACCACACCTGTCTCTCCCTTCTCTGCTACTATTAGATTTGCTCGGTAGCCCCCTTTTCCATCTTTTCGACCACCATGACCATGACTGCAACCTCCACCCTGTTCATGCCCACTTATCTCTCTTTCCTTAGGTGGCCTAGGACAGACTTCGCTCAGATGCCCAACTTCACCACAGTTGTAGCACTCGTGAGTCTCCTCTTATTGGACACCTATCATACCCGAGGTCGAGGCAACCAAAGTTGATCACACACTTGGAAGTCCGCTCGGCTCAGAGTGTACCTTCGCGCGACTCTCCTTCTCTATCATCACAACAATGAACTCGTCCAGTGAAGGGATAGTCGCATGAGCGAGGAGAAAAAATCTCCTTTGATCAAAAGCTGGGTTTAAATGGGCCAGAATTTGCATGTCTCATCTATGTAAAGATCTCTTCTTTCTTGCACTTCGGATCGTCACAGCTCAACATCGGTGAGAAGCAACCAAGATCTGCCTACAGCTGCCCCAACTTAATGGAGTGCTCCTGATTTGATCTATCACTCTGTACAACTGCTTCTATGCCATGTTGAATCTGGAACACCCTCACGTGATTTTCAGTCCCAACATAGGTCCTCTTCAGCTTTGCCCAGATGTCCTTCACCTTTTAAATGTCATCTACTAATGTGAAAATCGATAGAACCATTGAGTTAAGAAGCTAGGTGTAAAGTAAGGCTTATGTGGTTCTCCACTCATCCCCTTCAGCACTGTCACCCTCTGGCTCACCCTTGACTCCCATCAGATATCTCTTTAGTCTCTTCCCAATTAGAGCAGCCTCGATCTGACGTGAGAAACTCATATACTTGAGGTCCATTAAGCTTCGGATCCATAAGAGGGAGACCTAGCTTCACCTGCGTCGGAGAGTGTGTTGAGGTAGTGGTTCCCGTCGAGATGCTATCTCCCTGTTTGAGTCCGATCAAGATCCTCAAAACTTATGGATTTATCTTCCCTAGAATCTCTAAATTTTTATCTCTTGCATTATTTCTGTCTTCCGACATCCTTAATTTAACTATTCCCCAGCTTTTGTTGTCCTCTCACGCAAGCATAACCAAAGATCTCACTGCCACTACTTTGGTTGCACGCGTGCTTGACCCCTGCATTGCACCAAATTGCTCAAACCACTCTGCTGTGATTCAGCAACTGTAGGCGTCGTTTCCTTCGTTTGATCGATCCTCCCTGCACCTAGCTGCTTTGTACAAACGTGTTGTGCCCTACTGTTCGGTCATATGGTACACCTGAGCGTGTCGTCGACTTCGCTGCAATCGTGACTGTATCGGGAGCGTCCGCCCCTGCTTCATGTCATGGTCCCATCGTTGTTGTCCCAATTAGCACTAATCACAACTGTATTTGATTTTTCACTCCCCGATCCCATTGTTACAATCCTAGATAGCTCTAGTTGCGGCTGCTTTGCGAGGACCAAGCTGAAGGATCTCTATATGTCTATCTCGACTGGTCGGACTGAGCGACAGGTGAGAGAGAGAGGAGTGGCGGCTAGGGTTAGGCTTTGATACTGAAAGAAAGAATTGTTCAAAAATCTTATTTGTACATTCATAAAATGGGGCTTAAATAGGATATTACGATGTTTTACAAATAAACTCCTGAACTTCTTCAAAATTTCCTTTTTACTAGTAGGACTGTAAATAAGGTTCAATTCTCAACATAAAATAATTGGCAGAGCTAACATATCATCTATAAGGGACGCAGAGTAAAAAATACAAATGAATAACTCACAATAATAAGCTAGGTATGAAATCTGATCACGAATAATGGAGTTGCATACTAACTAACCGGTACGTGACATTCTAGTTATTGAAATCTGACATTGATGGATATGATCTATGGTGATTTGAATTATTGGTGTGCTTATAACTGAGTTCATGTTAAGGGTGGTATAAATGTTGTATGCAAAGGAAACCGCGGACAGCTTAATATTTGTCATGCGTCTAAAGAGATTTGTTTGAGTAGATCTAAAACTGAACACATGGAATGTAATTTTAGTATTAGTAGCTCTAGTGACAGAGTTGTAACTATGGGTGATTAAATCATTAAAAGGTGTGATCGTTTTAGATATCTCGAGTCTATAGTTCAAAGTGATGATGATATAGATGTGGATGTTATTAGTAGAATTCAAGTTGGTTGGTTGAACTGGAGGACTGCATCGGGTCTATTGTGAGATTGAAAATTACCGGTCAGACTGAAAGGAAAGTTTTATAATATGGCGGCGAGACCTACAATGCTCCATGAAAGTTGGCCTTAAACATAAAACAAAGTTAAGTGGTGCTGAGATGAGAATGCTTAGGTGGATGAGTGACCTAACACTTAGAGATAAAATGTGAAATAAATATATCCCTGATAGGGTTGGCGTAGCTCTAGTGGTGAACAAGATTAGAGAGAGTCATCTTAGATGGTTTGGTCACATTAAGCGCCAACCATCTGATGTTCCTGTTGGGAGAGTATATGTTTCAGATTCGACTTTTGTTAAGAAAGACAGTGGTAGACCTAAAAAGCATTGGGCAAATTATATAAAACATTATCTTAATCTATTAGAATTATATGAAAATATGACACTCGATAGGACACAATGGAGAAAAATGGTTCATGTAGCAGTCCTACTAAAGAAGCATAAAGGTTTTTTGTTATTGTTGTTGTTGATGCATGAACAATAGTTTCAGTCATAGTACGCAAGTAACTGGGATTGTCATGATGAATTTATCCCATTCAGAACTACTCTAATAATAATGAAAATTTGATAAGATAATTTTGTACTTAAAATTGTAAAAATAATGCTACAAAAGGAAGCCTTTCAACCTCTTTGTAGAATTAACTTGTAAGGCATGCATTCTAAAGTTCTCTTTGTCGCTAATGAGTGAGTTGCTCTTATGTTATGAATGATCGGCAGGGTTTAGCAAACAAGTTAAATGTGAATATTTGACTTGCTAAATCAGTTGCTAAATTTATGGCTTTTCTAGTACGAAATTTACTGATTCCATCATATTTTACGAGATAATGCTGAGTATTTTCCTAGCCTTATTGCATTTTAATATTTATTCTTGCTGCTTACTTTCAGGGACTGGTATAATTTGGAAAAGTCCAAGCGTATTAAAGCATTTCGCTGTGGGGAGTATGATGACTGTATTGAGAAGGCCAAAGCTTCTGCTATTCGCCCGAGCAGGAGAACAACCAATTCAATGAAGTATGCTAGCAGAGTAGATGCTATTCTTCATGCTCTTGAGCTTGAAAAGTGCTATCTAACCAATGGAAATGAGAAGCTTAGTTCAAGTAAGAATAACAGCAAGATCAGTCTCATCACCGAAGATTTGCTTAAGCAGCAAAAAATGATGCAGAAGAATAGGAGGAAACTTGTTTTAGTAGCAAGGAAGTCTGGCAAACCTAAAGAAATCTGTACTCATGAATTCTCTCATTCTGTTGCAACGATTGAACTACCCGAGCAACCATTAGGGAGAACCTCACAGAAAAAGAGATGGAAAAATCCTAATGATTCTGAAGATGATGGAGATGAGGGTGTAAGGAGAATGAAAGATCTTCAGGACCTGGGTTTGGAGATGATTTCAGCAGAGAAGCCTAACAAGTGTGTTCACATGAAAGAATCCAGTGCAAAAGGCCCATCCAGGCGCGTTTTACAAAATGAACCAGACTTTGCTGACAATTTATCAAGTATTAGTAGCAGCTTTAAACATTCATATACGCGAATTTTTCATGTATATCAGAATCTAAAGAGGAGAAGTCGGCGCCGTCGGCGTCTCACAAAAATTTGGGTGGGTTCAGATGAGGTAAACGTTCCATTATTCTATCAGGACAGTGTAATTACTGGAGATTTAACTTCTTGTGGAGTCAGCATGAATCGGCTGAATGATCTAAAATCTTTTTCAAAGAAGACAAAATTCTCATCCATGGATAATAGCAGTCTTAACTGCTCAGAAAGTTCATACGAAGGAACTTTATTGCATGTTCTAGAAAAAAATGGCACTGCTGTTTATGACTTTAATCCTCCTCCTGTGGTGAGGGATGAGGTTGATGATAGCCTTTCCAATGGCTTGGTCAATGTTCCTATTCTTATTGGGGAAAGTAATGTAGAAGGTATGTTTTGATAATTATTCAGTATATTCTCTTATATTATATCGGGGGATTTACATACATAGCATCCAAAACATTATGACGTTACTGTTTAACTTCAAACTTCACTATTTACATCATATGTCATTTTCATAGCTTTGTTAATGGATGTTGTCGGACACAAGGAGGGAAGTGGTGCGCTGCCTTGTCCAGCCAAGCTTCTCTAGGCGCTGGTTCGCTGGATTTGGCGGAGGCAGTGAGGCCATGGATAGCGAGTTTGGAGGTAGTGAGTGAGTGGCGGCGACTTCAGAGGTAGCGAGGTCGGAGATGGTGCTTTGGAGGTTGCTAGATCAGTGGCATAGAGGTTGTAGGTGGAGAGGTGGGGGCAATGACGACTTTGGAGGTGTCAAGTTTGGAGGCAGTGAGGTCGCCACAGCATGGTCAGGGGCCGCGAGATCGGGGGCGATGATGGATTGTTAGGGTTGGTATTATTTTTATTTTATTTTGATGCTTTGAGTGCTTTGTATATGAAAATAGTGAAATTTAGATGCTAAATATAATAATTCTATTCTTTGAGCTATGTATCTAAATCCCCCTATTTTTAATTGTATGTGAAAAACTTGACTGCTTTTGACTAGATAAGTTTCATGTGAAGTAATCAGATATTGATGGGATTGACGTTGATTTTGCCAACTTGGTTGCTCAAATCTATGCTAGTCTTGCCACTTCTGACCTGATTATAGTCCAGTTTTAACTTTTCATTATTGTTAGATGTTAAAAAGATCTTTATGCTTGCTTTTCAATGGAAATTATTCCTGAATGATTTTTAAGAAACAACCGAGGGAAATCTACCGGGAAGCTTATGCTTGAAGTTTAGATTCTATATCTTACACTGGTCTGCACCACTGACCTGCATGTAAAATTTATTAATGTGTTCAGTAATCTCTTTATGTTTTTGGTTTTGTAACTTTTTCTCCTATCTTCAACCAGCTTTTGATGTAATGTTCATTTTTTCTTAGATCCTACTTTTTTTTTTCACTATGCCAAGGTGCATCATTATTTACATCTTCATCCGCCCAGGTGTCGTCTCCATTCACAAGACTTGCACATCAAGAAAAATTCACTCCTGCACAGCGGAGAAGCTATCTGTCCATTCTGTTCAAGTTTGTTTGGTTTCAAAATCCGGTAAAGTACTTGTTGAGGCTTCCTCTGCGAACTCCGTGTGTCCTACTAATCATATCATCCAGAGATTAAAGAAAAACAGCACCGGCCTTTACTCCAAATTGGAAAGACATTCCAGGTATTCAAGTTTAAACATGAATCCAAACTCGGCAAGTTCTGATGATGATGAAGCGGACAATGCTTGTGATGGCTCTTTGACCTCTGATATTAGCGATCAATCAGCCATATGTGGATCTCTTCCAGAACTAAGTAATATCCATGAAGCTCAAACTATGCCAGCTTCATACAACAATGCCATACCAAACAATTTTGTCAAGTGTGAGCAGAGTGTTGTCTCTATTTCTCCACGATGTGCAGTAATGGAAGCTTCTCTATATGATGTTGAGTTGAAGGTTCAAGCTAACTATCATGGTCAACGAGCTCCTCTAGTTTCTCTTGTTAGTAAATTAAATGGCAAAGCCATTGTGGGTCATGCCATCAGTGTTGATATTTTAGATGATGGCTCCAGCACTATTTTACTGAATAGTGTTCGCCATCTTACTGGTTGCGGCATTAATTTGCTCAGAAGCAGGGTTGATATAATTGGTAAACTGCATGAAAAGCTTGACCATCTGGCAAAGCCTTCATGTCTGAACTCTTCATTATTGACAAGGAAACCTCTTGGTGGAAGGAATCTTAAGCGCTCTTCGTTGTTGAAAAGGAAACCTCTTGGTGGAAGGAAATTTGGGTTTTCTCCTAGAAAGATTCGTAGGTTATCCTCTATTACTGTTGATCTCAACAACAGGGAGAAGGACAGAGAAGTCATTGTGGAAAAGGTGGAAGATTCGTCCGTTTCCTGCATACCTGTCAGAGTTGTTTTTAGCCGGCTGCGCGAAGCACTGAGCCACTCTTCACACCAAGTTAACTGAATATTTTGGGCTTTTTCTATCATCTTCTCCGTGGACTTATGAAGGAGTACATTTAGAACTTGAAGGTTTTGGCTTTTTAGGAACATAATCTCCTAACATTGTAGAACATAGCCTATGGCCTATGGAGTAAAGCATAAGAGTTCTTGTTCATAGTAGTGTGGATCTCACTGTTTTGGTAGATAACCTTTTGCTGGTTCTATCATCTGAGCTGCTTGAAGTAACTCTTCTGCTTGGGCCTTTACATGGCTATGTAACATTTAGAATTAATGTGCTTAATTTTTGGGGAAGTATTAGTACAAAATTATGTTTCTGTCGTTTACCTTTTCTGCTGTGGGTATGAATTCACTGTGTCCTTTATGTCTGTTTATATTTTGGTTAGTAACTTGAATTCAGCATCGTTTCGCTCTTTTAGTGTCAACGGTGGAAAGAGAAAAATTTATGTATGTAAGACGTTTGCAGAGCTGCGCACATTGGAGGTGTGAGAGATTATTTGGGGGTTATAGATAGGTTGCAGAGATGTTACAGGGGGGTATAACGTGGATATAACCCCCCAATATCCTCTGAATAACCTCCGATGTACGCAGCTCTACAAACGTCTTACGTATACAAATTTTTTCTCCAATGAAAAACTGTTTTTTGGTTCAGTTTTCTTTCTACAAGCAGTTTAAATTTCAGTTGTTTTTCAATTAAATAATGCTTGAAAATCACAAACCATTGCCGCATTTAGTCATTTTCTCTTTCAAGATAAAAGTTACGAGGTTGTAATTTAAGGAAAAAATATGTCCGAACTCCAAACGTAGCTTTATGTGTGGACTTCAATAATATGCCGTCACATATGCTATACATCCTGAAGGTTATTTAGGGGTTATTGAAGTGAAACAATGGAGATTATTTTAGGGTTAATTCAGGGTTATTGTTGATTCTGATTTCACTTTAATGTTTTTTAGGTGGGTCCGATATAAAACACATGATGATATATTATTGAGAGTCCGCAGGTAGAAGTACGTCCGGAGTCCAGACAAATAACTTTTTCGTAATTTTGTGCACATACCAATTGTCATTGTATCACGTTTTTGCTTTAAACCAAATTTGCTGTTTTTTTATCTATTTGTTTGCTCAGAAAGCTCAAACTCTTAAGCCGTCATAATGGTTCCTGATATCAATTTGTGAGATACTTTGCAGCATCTGGCCTGAGGGCTTGAAATTTTATGCGACGAGTGGACGGTAGGATAGTGAAGTTAATACTTTTTATAAATTTACGTATATACAGACATATTTTGTGTAGTTATATATCTAACACCCAAAATTTGATATTTATATTTATATTTTGTTGTCATAAATTTATTCATGCAAAGGAGCATCACTGATGATGATATTGCTCATATGATATTAAAGCTTTGAGTGATATGCATGTAAATATGAATATTTAAGTATTGGGTGTGTTCATACATAAAAATTGTGGTATGTATCTAAATGACCATAGTTTATTTTTATTTTTATTTTTTATTACAAAATAAATTGGTGTAAAATAAATTATAGTTTGCTAATTAATTGTGCATACTTAATAAACTAGATAGCATTAGAATATAAATAATATTATTTTATTTATATCTTATTATTTATAATTGTCACAAAAATACCGTCCAAAATTTATACAAATAAAAGTTTATTAATATCAAAATTTCTTTTTTAATATACGTGCTTGAATATTTTAGCAAATATCATGGGGAGGTGAACATCATCATATTCAACATG